CTCTACTCTCATAGTTAAAAATCAGATCTCTTTTGTCACAGGTAGGAAATTCTTCATTCAGACTTCACCTGGTGAAGTAAATAGCCTATGGTCACCTAAACTGTAGCTCCTTCATTCTGAGAGCAAATACAGCAAAATGGAGTTCAAGGCCCCCCTTACTAAAATTTAAGTAAAATGTTTGAACATTTTTATTGTTGGCCAAAGTTTCCAACGTCTACCTCATCATCACCATTTATTAGAATTCGACACTAAAATGGAACTGTCTCCCTGAAAGAGAAGTTAGAGCACCAGAGCTGCAGGCACTCGCTCAGTGCTAGGGGCTCAAAATGACACAAAGAACCTACCTGAATAAAACGTCACGTGTCACCCTTTTTCTCTCCTTCTCTTCTCCTTTAAATAGGGACAAGGTGATAAAAGGTTCATACAGGACATGGATTTCTAAACTTTCAGTTCCTCTTATTCAAATATATTTCCAGGTCTGCCCTCAAAATGTACTAAATATGGGCTTTAGCAAGACACTGAAAGCATCACATTCCCATGCTTCTGAATACGTTATGAAAACTTCATGGGAAGAAAAGAAAAAACAAAGCTTTAAACACTGGACCTCTTTTGAGTGGAGGGAGAGACAGGGGCTGTCCCATGGTCTTGGCTCCAAGACCACAGGCTGGCAGTGACACTACAACACATTGACTTGCTCTGCTAACATCTGTGTCCACAGAGATGGCAGCAAAAGTGTTAGACTTGCCACTAAACAGGCATCTGTACGTCTGGATTAGCCAATATCTAGATTAGACTGAAATAGAGTAACCAGTTTGCTTTTTCGTTGCTCTTTTATCAAGGTCACCATTCTCTTCCTGTCTTTCCATATTCCTCCATCTATTGACAGATACACTCCTCATTATGCAGAGAGTAGGACAACCATTTAATGACTGAGCAATGCTTCTCAAACAAGAGATTAACTATCTGCAAATAAAACCTAGAATTTGCCTTGGGAAATCAGCTATTTTCTTACATACTAAGGCTTCATCTACCATTTCTCTACCTTTTTTAAGGGTTGCAGTATGAGAAAGTAGTGAAGAATTCACAACAGAGAGAAGTACCTCCACCTAGTAAGATACTCAAAGACAACAGGAAAGGTAGTGTGCTGCCATGTGTAGCACAACAATAAGCCCCACAAACTACCTGTAATGTTGATGGTTATTGATGATGTTAAAGGTGAGGTTGACATTCCTAGCAGAATCTCCAGTTGCAAAAATCTGGATGGTTCTCCCTAATAGCTAACACCTATTAATATCATATCCATCTTGTTTTGATTAAGTTTAAACTAGACTATTTTCTTGCTTCCATTATCACCTAGGAACCCAACAGGAATGCAACAATGGACTTTCAAGACACCAAAATGCACATGCAGGAGTTCTGCAGTTCAGAGATGTCAAAGTTCCCAGCAGCATCTTAAGCTGCTACTCCACAAGACCTTAGAAAAAAAAATCCCTCTAGAAAAAAAAATATAATTACCCATAAGGAAGATTTTGATTCTATCTGACATAAATAAAAGCAGTCCTTTTATGTAACCTCTTATTGGCCACGGTCTGTGGTATCATGGTTATCGTGCATACCGGGTTTACGCTGCAATCTAAATAACCCGGTTTGGGAAACACCCCCAGAAAGCTGAACTGTGATCTAGAAGTCATTTTAACAGGTTTGAAACTTTCATTATATGAACTACTTCCTCTGAAGAGGGACATCAATATTTCAGGCACACAGAAATTCTTCCTTTTTCCACTGAATTAGGCCATTACTCAATTCAGTGTTAGTAATTTTTCCCAAGTATAATATATTGTTAAGTATAACACTGGGTTGCAGTAACTTTCATTCTTAAAGAATTTGGAACAAAATAAAGCCTACTAGGCCATGCACTATTTTGATGAATATATATCAATTAATTGAGAAAATTTCTTAGCAAACTTACTTATTCATTTAGCAACAAATGGTGGATTTGAGCTCTTCATTTAGAAATTTTTACACAGATCGAGTTTCCTAAACTTTATGACTACTTTATTGCTTATCTTTCCTAAAACTCTTAACTAGGTCTATTTAGAAATTGATTTTTATACAGAATGAGTTTCCTAAAGTTTTTGAATACATTACCACTTAAAACTCCTAAAAATCTTAAATAGGTTTATTGCAGAGCACAATGGAATAAAATATATTTTCCTTGGCATCTGAGTGTACATATTTTGAATACTGCAGGGGATTTGGATGAATGATTTAGATTGATGTCGACTGGCAGATGACAACTCAGTTTTCATAAAACTTTTGACAAGTCAACATTTGTTTTTTCTCTGTTTTGCAGAAAGCACATAACTTTCTGAAATGAAGACTTGAGACAACCAGGTTCACATTTCCCTGTTTCATCAGTAAAGCTTTCCAGACCACTTCATTTTGGATAAGTTAGGACACAACAGGAATTCAAATGGAAGTCCCTTATGAGTCAGGTCAATGTCCCAGTCATCACGCTGGAGAATGAGAAGTCTCTCTCACAGACAGTATTACTAAGTCCCTTAATGTCCTTCCCAGATAATCTTTCTGTGGATATATATATTTTTTTTTTTAATAAAAATTAGAAACCTTGAAGGAAATCCCCAAGCTGGTTTCAGTGGAAGTGGGATTCTACCCTACAGTAACAGCTGCTTTCTGTACAAGTAAAATATTCTTTGACTCTTTTGTGAATTTATTCTAGAAGCTTTAAATAAAACAGTCTCTGTTCCACTATTTTTCTGTACACTTTTTCAGTTATTATCTTCCCACTTCAGAATTATGTTATCTATAGTAATTCATGCAGATTTTGACATTGGACTCTCTTCTCAAAGTCCTTACTCAAACAAACTCCCTAGCAAAGGGAGAAAATGAAATTCCTATACAAGTAAAAAATGTCAGACTAGGTCTTTAGTAATGGATTTGGGGATTCTTTAGGGTGAAAGACATTGTTAATCTATTCCCATTACCATGCACAAGTTCATCTCACCATGCTCTACCCTAAAGAAAAAGCACTTTTTATCTAATAAAATGGAAAAGATGGCATAGCTGATTTTTTTTTTTCAGGGAGCGCATATCAGTGGATGACATTTCTCAAAAGCAGCAAATCACTGTAGATTAAGTCATGCACAGCAACTCAGTACAAGCATGAAGTTTTGAGAGAAAATGACCTAAGCCAGACAGAACAACAAAAGGTTTTGACGTAAAGTCAGACATAGCACCACTGGGCAAACCACGTCACCCTGAAGGTAAAACCCAAAAAAAAAGCAGTAGGAGAGACAAGGAAGCTGATATAATGGCAACAAGGAAACACATACTGTAAGTTTATTCTTCCCATTATCTTTAGAGTCGGGTAGGAAGGCTGCAAGCCTTTTCAGGGCCAGTGTGGCAGTTAAGTGGTTGATGTCCTCCTTGTTCAGTAGGACTAGCTGCAAAGTAAGATCTTACAAGCCTGGTATTGAGATACTGGAGTCAGACTCTTGTTCTGGCCTTAGAAACATATAAGTCACATGATGCTTTTTTGTCAATCTGGGCTCATGTACCAAATCTTGCTACAGTTTTATATATTTCAGATGGATAATTTCAAAAAGGTATCATTTTACATGAGCTCTTTAGCCTATTCAGCCAGATATTTAAGTATATCTTCACAAAATCACTGTTGTTAATGATACTTAATAATTAAAAAAAAAACCAACCCACAGAGCATATAGTCATCACACATCGTTTTATCTGCCAGTAAGTACAGTTTAGGATAAGCTTTTGATCCCTCTACTTCCACTGAAATCAATGGAAATCCTTCATACAGAGGCATAAGCATCTCCGTGTGGCATATATTATCCTATAAAAAAACCCCTATGCTTGAGAGGAGGGGAAGATGGTGGAGTAATAGTGTTCTTCTCAGGTCATATATGTATAACAGAGGATAAATGGGACAGCGGAGAAAGAATGAGCTAAGAGACCAAATTCATTCCTATGCAGTACAGAGTTATGAACTTGGCACAATGCTTTTAAGTACATTGGGTAAGATTTCTGTTTTGCCGAGGATCCTTTATACAACTCCACACTGGGGTATTTTTTTTTTTTTTTTTCCTGGGGAAAATGCTACTGGGACACGTCAAGGCAGCTCTGTTTGTAACTCCTAGGAGAAAAAGCTTGTCATGAACACACTGAGCTCCAATACAAAGGAAAGAACACACAAGCTGTTCTGATAGGAGCACATGTAACAACCTGCACACCTCTGAGTGCATTCCCTTTTCCTGCTGCAGTCAGCACTTGCCTTTCTCTCTAACTGGACAGGTGTTTTTAGTCTCAGACACTTCTAAAGTATTAGCATTTATCCTAGAGATGGAGCAAAACCTGCAGCTCAGATCCAGATATCCCTGGCCCTTTTGAAAAAGATAAACAGGGGCCTGCGCTGCAGGATTTGGTTATTTTTAACTCTATTCACAGCATGTGTCTCAGTTACTGCACAGAATTAAAACATGTATTTGTTAGCACAGTGTTTGGTTACACAAAGAACTGCAAGGATAGTTACTAGGACAACAACATAGTTGTATACGCTGTGAAGACAATTTTCACAAGAAGAAGGGATAGATATTTAGCATTTTTGAAGTTTGCCTAAGAATCTGTAGAAAACAGAAAAAATGCAGGAAATAGTTATTTTTTTACGTACAGTTCTCAGATTTGTATTTGCAGTCCTATTATTCCATTCTCCCTGGCAGTAACTACGCAAAATTTCATATGAACGTAACACTTCATCTTTACAATCTGAAATACTGCACTCGGGTAATTTCAAAGACAGGTTGCATACTAGGGTTGTTTGGACATCAGTGTAACAGTCTGTGTGACTACAAGAAGCAAAAGCCACTGACTCAAGGACTATCTCAAACATCCACAATTAAAAATATGCTCACATGCCTAAGCAGAGAGCACCCTGAAAAAAAGAGATGAAACCAGAAACTTACGTCATGACCAGTGTCTCGTCTCCAGGTTCACTAAGTAATCCATCTACAAAGACTGAAGTGCTGGTAAAATTATGTGTACTCCAAGTCTGGCCTTCATCTATGCTGAACCTGTAAAAAAGCAGAAATGGTTTTCATTTACAACTATTATTATACAAAACAGAATTAATTAATTCATTAAAAAAAATCCCCTCACTACTAAAGCCCACCATTTATGATCACCAAAATACAATATGCCTGGACAGTATATCATATTAATATGATCTTTTTCTCATCAACGTATCCAGGGGCTCACATCTGTATTAGAAGGTGTATAACAAGTTTACCACAACAATGGAAATTCTCAGGCAAACAAAAACTGAGGTCTGTCAACAAACTATCTTGCTACCTTGTAGGTTCAATAGCAAGTTAATTTACACTTCGTTCTAGTACTCTCTGAGCTAGACACCTGTTAAGCAGAGGTCAGTGAAACAGGAGAAGCAAACCAGCCCAATTGCTAAAACATACAGGAGGTGCGGTAACTGCAGGCATCAAGATGAGGGCCCTTCACAGCTGCTACCATCAACTTAAAAATTTTCAAAACATGCTGAGGGATCAGCAAAACATACTTCAAATACACTGTGCGCCCCAAATTTATGAATAAAAGTCTCTTCTGTACATTTCCTCTAGGTCTTTCAGATAGTAGGTTAATGATGGCTTTCATTCTAGCTAAGTACATAGCCTAGTTCCTATTAGTATATACAGTATTATGCAAAAATGAACCTAGTCAAAAGTAATAAAGATCTCTTACATTTTTTTATGCTGAAGATGATAGTTTTGTATGCCATGACATAAAGTTACCATATTTTGCTTCACTATCATGCAGTTTAAACTTGGTATTTTGTAACAAAAATGGTTTGCAGCAAATCTTTCCTGCCAAACAAGCCGAGAAGGCCATTTTCTGCATTATCACTATATGACAGGATCTACACATACTACAGTTAATTTGTGTACGACTATCTCAGAAGAACTGGGCTTCTTGCATACTGCACTACACAGCACATCAGCACACATAAGTCCACTCCCCATTGGCTCCCAAAGTCTACATTATATTGCTCTTGCCAGAGCGACTCAGGGCTATTCTCCAATGTCATCATTCACTGTGGCCCTTGGAGGGGACAGAGCCTTATTACAGTATGAACGAACTATCCTGACTGGATACCTAAGCCTTATATGCATCGTAGGTTGAGCATCATTGCGTTGTAGAGTTCCAGGATAGCCTTTTAAACAAAAATATCTACATGGTGCAAGAAAATTTTATTATGATTAATCCATTATGCCATGGTACCTTTACCACCATGAAGTAATCTTTAAGAAAACATCCATCTGCATTTTGTTGACTTAATGAATGTTAAATAAAGCTGACTCCACCTGCATTTCATACATGATCACATCAAAATGCTCATCTTAAACTCTGAACTTTGCCTGATGTCTCGAATACACAATAGCTCTACTCTAATTGACTGTAGGATTACTTGAGTATTTTCAGAGGGATGGAGGTGTCTTTGATCGCCACAATAACTCCACCATGGTCCAGGTACAAGATGTGATGCTCTTCTTCAAAGACCTACAATTCAGACAAAAAAAGGCCAGCTAAGCAAACATACAGAACAGCAGAAATAAAACGTACGAGCAAACCAGGATTAAAAGACTTCTAAGTTTTATAATGTACACACTTCAAATTGAAAAGGACATAAAAGTCACTCTAACTCTTATATTTCTCCCAGCTGTAAAAGAGAAGAAAGTTAAGCAGGTGAATCAGAAAATGTTCAGGTTCAAATCACAGTCAGATTAAACTGTCTAAAATGATTTTAGCCCAAGCTTATATTTCTCACAGTATGCATTTTGCATTCCTTCCTATTATATATCACCAAGCAACCTATCACCTTACTTTGGTATTTGCCATATTCTGTGTATCTTGCAGAATAAAATGCTTTGTAGTCTAATTCTAAGAAAAATAGGAAAAGTATTGCTGTCCATGACTTTTTCATGTGTTTTCCAGACTCTACAGAACTTGAAATAATTGGCGCAAGCATGCTTTCTGTATTTCCAGTGTCAATGATTTATTTAAATTCAAACTTTATGTGATCTCACACAGAGGCAGCTCTGAGTTCTGAACAAAAATACACGTAATATTGATTTAATGGTATAAAGGATTCAAAATTTCCTAAATTCTTTTCCTTCGTCTTCTAGAGGTCATCAGCAGTAATAACATAAATGAACAGGTAAATATCTCCCCTTTTTTACATTTGAAATCTGTTTTAAGACAGGGTTTACTCATGTTATTAACCTGTGAAAGTTCATTTAACATAAGAGCAGGTGATAAAGTGAGAGCTACTACACATACTTAGCAGTTAATAGAAGAACACGCAGCCTCCTACATGCTTTGACAAAGCAAAGGTGAAAAACATAATCGTTACCTTTACTTTGCCTTGTGAATGAAAAAAAAACCTGACAATACTAAATGCTTCTTTTTTTGACAATACTAAATGCCACATTTAGATGATATATCAGCAAGACTGAACCGGGGTGGGGTGGGGGTGGCAGGGGGAAGTATCTTACAGCACATTCACAATTACTTCAAAAATAGTAAGCATTTAATTTGGGTTCACAATTCAGTCTTCCTCTCATCTAGTAAGAGCATATTTTATGGGAATCCTAGGCCTTCAAGTGTCTGATCAGCTTTTCAGTGTTGCCATTTTACAGGCAAAACCCTGATATGAGGCATTTACAGTCCTATCTACTTGTTCCACACAGCTGCATATTTTAGAAGAGAATTCAGTAAAGGATAGACATTAATTTTAGATGCACTTCAAAAGGATGAGATCAGCTGGAGTCAGATAAGCAAGCAGAGTTTTGATCCTCCTCTAAACTTTGTTTGAACTTTTGCTCAAATTAAAATGAAATGGTATATGCTGGGACATGAAGTCTCCAAAAGCTTCACCATCACACTAAAGATAAAGGAAGCTGGTATCTGCATCACTTTATCCAAATCAGGTCTTCCCAGAAAAGCATCATGGCACTCCCTCATGCACCATTTCAGTACCCCAGCTTTACCCTACATCCACTTGGCACACTATAAAGCACAGCGGACACATTACAGGCACATTAATGCCATCTTTATATCATGCTTTTCTTGCACACATTTCAAACATTTAAGAACCAAAACGTATGACATTCCTGATGAAAGCAACTCTTTATCTTCAGTACATTGAAAAGAATTAATGATTTCATGCCTGTGGAGTTCAGCACAAAAGTAAATATTTATCTACTTTCTAGAAACAAAACCAAGACAAACAGTTTGCAAAGGCTTTAGGCAAAGGTGGTCCCAGTGTCAGAGCTGAAGTTCGAACCCAGCAACAAGTGATACATATGTTCACAGTCAGCCACAAATTCTGATATATGCCTCTCCACTAACTAAAGTCAGGTAATAAATTTATTATGATCCTTACTAGTAGCAACTAGAGAAGTAGATTTTTATAGCCTATTTCTATGTTTTTTCCTTCTTCTGTAATTTTTGGAGCATGTTATGTGCTTTATGATTGTAATGTCAACTTCTTTTCTCTCTCTTTCTCTCCTCCCTCTGCTCTCCATGTTTTTTCTGTGTCTGTCCTTACAACTTCAGCAGCTATTTCAGGCTGGGGTATCTGTTGGGAGCAATTAGGAGAGCTCTACAAAATCAATGAAAACATGTTTAAATGATCCTAGAGGAATATACTGCACTCAATTTTACTCTGAGATACCTAAGTTTCAAAAGTAACCAAAAATGCACACAGTCACTTGCTTCTCTCACAAAGTGACATCCATTTCTAAACTCAAATCTGGAAACAGTTTCCTACATAGAATAAGCCAGTTGGACCTCCCCAGGGGTGAGAGGCTGGGGTTGCAGCCTTTACTGTTGGGCTTAAATGTGTCACCATTCATCTCTTAAGATGTCTGCAGGAAAACAAGTAGTCTTGCTTAAACAAAGGTTTTCCAAATTGCTTTGATACAAAAGGATTTGACATAGGGAAATAACATTCCAACAAACAAAGCACTGGACTAAAGATTCAGAGATCTAGATTCCATTCCTAGACCTACAACACACTTTCTGTGTAACCTTATTAGCTTAACTGAGAATTTTGTTGCTACGCTAGCTACTTTGGTAGCAGATCAAATATGAAAGGTTCTCTGTTGCTGATATTTTTCCTTTTATATAAGACATTGCTTTTGAAAGCCAGACCTTTCTCTTACTCTGTTTAGCCTATTTCAAGCACAGCGTTGTAACACATGCTTTTGAAATAGCAATAGCAACCATAACTGCGAACAGAAATAATTATTTTTTTAAAAATAAGTAAAACACACTCATATGTATACACAAGGTCATCCTTAGCATTTGACAGAGTATCGTAATATTTTAAAAATCAGGACTGAAAAAACAGGCCCCACAGAGGAAAAAAAAATGTATAAAACCTGTATGGTCTGAAATTGTGTTGAAAGCTAGCCCATTTCTCCCAGGATGCAAGATTTATTTATCTCTCCGAGTCCTATCATGTTCATTAACACATTTTATGATATTGTTTTCCAGGTATAATAGACATAGAAATCTTCCAAATAGACATCTCTGTCCCACAAGTTTACCTTCGGCTACATCTTTGTGGTTCACTTAAAATGATCTAAGCCCATGTAGTTCAGGATAATGTCAAGGTGAGCTTCCCTTCTCCTACAGGCCAGATCACTGCTACTGCATAGAGGTTTAAGCTACTTGTCAATTAGTTCCTAAACTACTGCTTTTTACAGTGCAACGTTGTACAATATAGAGTCAGAAATTTCAGTCTGACTTAAAATGGTACACAGTAGGGTGATAGTTTCAGGAGATACCAACAAAGAGCTCAGGCATCATGCAACAAAAAGACAGGAGAACAAGTGGAGCCAGCCCAAGTGGTATTGTGGCTACTTATCAGAATCCTTGCTTTACTCTTCCATTTATCACCAGTATTTACTTAATTGCACAAAACACTCATTTGGGCATTTTTATTTCTTCTTATGAACACTGGCTGTACATACTGCAATAATAAGTCTTCCTGAACTCTCATGTGACCTTATCATATGCAAGCTATGGAAACATGGGCTCAGCTGAAATAATTTTAAGTGTATAGAGCTAGTTAAAAAATTATGGAAGGAAAATGATCAGCAGATCATTGTTAAATTGAGAATGTATTACAAATTCAGGAACTCAGGGACTGGTCCCAGTTATGAATTGCAAACTGAACCTGAGTCAGCAATGTGATGCTACTGCAAGGAAGAGAAATCTTCTGAAATGAGGTGTCAGTAATGTCAAGACATCAAGGGCAATCATTTCCTTCTGTTTAGTACCAATAAAATTTGTAATTTTACATCCAGTTTTACCATGCTTCAGGAGAGGGATATCATATTAGACAGTCCAATCACTGAGCAACAAAAAGGAAAAGCACTTCAGAAATTTGATCCATTAGGAAAATCAGTGGATTTGAGTTTGCTTTTTTCCAAGGGAAAAAACCCTATGCTCTGGGTAGACATGAGAATCAACTTTCAACACCTGAAAAGTTATTCAAAGGTGACAGGAAACCAATCCTCTCCAAAGACAAGAAGAAATCAACTTACCTTGCAAAATCTGTGAAACTGCAAGAATAACAGCAAAAAGCATAGCCAGCTTATGTTTAATGTTCTGAAAAATCTATGAAGAATGGTGAAACACCACATAGGAAGACTGCAGAATCTCCTACAGTGAAGGATTAACAAACAGGTCTGGCAAACCTCTGTTAGAGGTGTTCTTCTTATGTTTGATACTGTCATAGAGCACATGGTTGGATTATGTGATCTTTGACCTTCCTCCCAGTCCTATATTCCTATGAACCACTACTGCTATTACTTCAGAAAAGCTTTTAATTAATTCATTGAACTGCCTTTTCTCCAAAGTCCTTTATATTTACTTTTCTGCGTTGCCCTGACAGTCTACTGAAGCACAGACTGCTCTTCTAGTCTGCAGACAGCTCTGCAACATCATGTGTCACGTGTGAGGAAGGTGACACGCACTCACTAATGACAACCGCAAAGTTTCTACATCAGTAACTTAAACCCACCCGAAGAGCTGTGCTGAAACATGAGCTTCGCTCTGCTTTTGACAGCTCACGAGACCTGTAATTTACTGTCTAAATAATTCCCATATCATCGGACTGAAGCCTTGTCTTTCGTTGCATGAACTCCGACAGAGAAAGGAAATGTACCGCTGTCCTCTGGAAGAACTGTTTGATCATGAACAGCGAGGCTATAAAATACATACAATAATCGACATTTTCATTCTGATGGCAAATATTAAGACTGAGTAAGCTCTTTCAAAGGCTTCATAGCAGTTTTAATTAAAATAAAGCTAGCAATGGTGGTTTTCATTTTCACTGTCATAATGAGGGATCAGGTTGTGGCTGGTTTTACAGCACACAATAGTCATCTTAAGGTCAAGTTTCATCACATATCATTTGCCTGAGTGTCTCATAAATAAAAAGTGGTGAAAATATGAATCTGATCTCCTTCACTCTTGCCTTCTTATTTTTCACCCCAGAAAAACCATAGAACTTTGGCAAATAGTGACACTAAATTGTTAGAGAGGTCTCTGTGAAGTACTGGACAACACAGTACCCACTGTAAATCCTGGAAGACTTTTGCATTTAAACACCTATTTATCATCTGCTACAATTCAAGATCGAATTTGGCATAAAATTTTATCTTTTAACCCTCAAAGGACATTATCATGACAAAAATAATGTATTTCTTTTTAAAAGTCCTTCTATGGAGTGTTAATAGCACACTACAATAGCAATATAAGAAACTGGCTGTATTTTTCTTTTTATCTCAAACTCCCTGAGCTCAGTAATACTTGTGAGAGCATTTTCACACTTAGTTCTTCTCAGATAACAACACAACTGAATTTTATTTTAGCTGAACACTAAAAGACTACTTTAACTGAAATTAAATGACTTTTTGACACACTTTGGTGGTTTGAGGGTTGTTTTTGTCCTGGATATAGATTATAAGTAGATTGCAGAACTTCCTTATATCTTACGATCACGATTGTTGTTGCTATTTACATTCAAAGAGAAAATATCCCCGTGACTGAACATTGCTGAAACAGAGCAATTTAGGAAAAAAACCCACATAATAAAGGTGCAATGTTTAAATTGACACTAGGCATTGGAAGCAAAAGACATCCAGAATTCAAATAGCATTACAGCTACTACGAGACGGGGTTTTTTTAAAATATTTTTATGTTTGTAGTCCCAGAATTGATTAAATCATACTAAAAAAGACATTCAAAGGCTTATTGCTTTTTCAAACTCTTTTTGCTTTCTCAGTTGCAATGAAGAACAAAGTTTAAGCTTAAATACCAGTTTTCAGACTATGAAGAATTTCTTCCTTTCTACCTAAACCACATCTTTCAGCTTAGAATAGTCGTACTGCCAGATCCAACCGAAGTCCACTTCATCATTAGCACAGAAAGGTTACTTAAATTATTAAAAACCTAAACAGACTCTCTACATGTTTTTTTAAGCAAGATACTTCTAAAATCTTTAAAAAGACCAAAATATTTGAATTTCAGCAGAACCTGACAGCCTGACCAATTTGAGTCTTTGCAATGATCTCCTTAATCTCTCCCAGCTTCCAAGCGCAATGGGGATAATAATAGCCACCTCCCTTGAAACAGTGGGTATATAAAGATTAGTTAAGCATTATAAGTTTCATCATATTGGGTATGTTAAAATTATTTCCAGGTGCCTTTGATGATTCCTTTTTCCTACCTGACGCCACGTGTTCCCACAGTCAGACGTTATGTACATTTCTTCTTTATATTCAACCAGCTGGGACCCCAGGTTACCTGTCACAAAACAGGAGGAAACAAGGGTTGCATCTACATGAGCAAGAGAGATTGGATCTAGACCTGACACCAGGCACAGTGAGAAGTTTCTAGGTAAGAGCAAGAACTAAGCTTAGATGGTCAGCAGGCTTATTTCATTTCTGGTAGCACCAGATAAATCCTTTTAAAATCATATACATATACACTTTTAACTTCTTCCTTTACATTGCTAGCTATCCATAGGTGAGAGCAATGAGGCTTAATTCTAATACTGAAATGCAGAGGCCAAACCAACATTTTAGTTTTGTTGCTGCATACTGAAAAATTATTATAAAAGAACATGTATTTAAGATGTAAGTCTGAAACGTCCATAAACTCAGAAGCCATACCTTAACCTTAATCACATTCAGTAAAATTATTCGTCCTGAACTTGAATTGTTAAAACAAAAACGGTTTTATCTGCAAGACTTTATGAAGCTGTAGCAAAATCTAGAATCTGGAGAAATACGTAATATTGAAAAGAGGAGGCGATGGGTTGAAAAAGTATAAATACAAAAGAATTTAAAGCAGAATTACTACAGACTTTAGCTAAATATTGACCAGTAAGCTACTGAATATTTTGACAAAAAGCACTGAGGAGCAGCAGCTAGCATTCAGGTTACTGCAAAGCAAACAGAAGCTTTAAAACAAACCAATGGAAGATATCTTAGCGGATGCAATTCCAAATACTGAGATCTCAATTTTTTAACATGCAATATTTCAAATAGCAAACTATTAAACCACCAGGTAGTTTACAGTATTCTAGGGGAGAAGCAATCATAGCAAAATATTCCTTCTAAATTACATCCTCCAGGGGATTTTGACTTAAATATATGGTTTGTGTGTTTTTACAGTAAAAGTAAGATCGAAGTTATCAGATCTTCTTAAGCAGGAGACATGAGAAAAGAAAACACTTGAGATCAGGATAGTGTTATGAAATGTCACTTGTGTGTTATATAAATAGCTGGTTTTAACTACCAGACAGATCTGTTTATGCAGAGTGTGCTCATTAGTGCTGAAAGGTTCCTGAGAGGAATGACAGCACCCACTGACCAAAATACACACTCTATTTAGACTATCAAGATTGCATGTGCTCCGCTGTTTAATGGTATAACTCTACATTATTTAACCCTAAATACAGCCTAGACAGGATTAGGATATTTATGTTTGTCGTGGTTTAGCCCCAGCCAGCAACTAAGCACCACGCAGCCGCTTGCTCACTCCCCCTACCCCGATGGGATGGGGGAGAGAATTGGAGGAATAAGAGTGAGAAACACTCCTGGGTTGAGATAAGAACAGTTTAATAATTGAAATAAAGTAAAATAGTAATGATAATAGTAACAGTATAACAATGATAATAATAATAATGATATACGAAGCAAGTGATGCACAATGCAATTGCTCACCACCCGCCGACCGATACCCAGACAGTTCCCAAGCAGCGATCGCTGCCCCCTGGCCACCCCCCCCCACCCCAGTTTCTATACTGAGCATGACTCCATATGGTATGGAATAGCCCTTTGGCCAGGTTGGGTCAGCTGTCCTGGCTGTGCCCCCTCCCAGTTTCTTGTGCGCCTGGCAGAGCATGGGAAGCTGATAAAGTCCTTGACTAGCATAAGCAGTACTCAGCAACAACTAAAACATCAGTGTGTTATCAACATTCTTCTCCTACTAAATCCAAAACACAGCGCTATGCCTGCTACTAGGAAGAAAATTAACTCTATCCCAGCTGAAACCAGGACAATGTTGAATCAGGGAACTTATAGGAGTCAGTTTATTTATTTCAACTGCATCTAATGTTTCAGAAGACACCACTGCCCCTTCTTGGGTTTTCATCTTTCCAACCCACTTCACACTGTCTTTCAAATAATTCAGCACAGACTTAGCTGGCCATGCCATTTTGAAAATAAGACCCTATTCCTGTAGACAATGAGAATATCTGATAAGGTCAGTACAGTATGGATGAAAGGGATGTGGAGTGAACACAAATTTTTAGAAACAGGCTTGTATGGATGAAGTAGAAGTAAGACCTGTAAGATTAAAAATGTGCCAAAACCAGCTTAGACTCAAAGTGCCGGGATGACCCTTATGACTACTACTGGATGTGACAACAGTTGTGCCAAGTGTGAAGGAAAGAGAAATGGGTAATTATGGAGTGAACAGACCCTATTTTTTTCCCCTGCAAACATCTTCATCCTGGGCTGCATCAAAAGCAGCATGGCCAGCAGGTCGAGGGAGGGGATTCTGCCCCTCTGCTCTGCTCTGGTGAGACCCCACCTGCAGTACTGCGTCCAGCTCTGGGGCCCTCAGCACAAGAAGGACAGGGACCTGTTGGAGTGAGTCCAGAGGAGGGCCACAAAAATGATCCGAGGGCTGGAGCACCTCTCCTATGGGGACAGGCTGAGAGAGTTGGGGTTGTTCAGCCTGGAGAAGAGAAGGCTGCGAGGAGACCTTATTGCGGCCTTCCAGTACTTAAAGGGGGCCTACAGGAAAGATGGGGGCAATCTTTTTATCAAGGCCTGTTGTGACAGGACAAGGAATAATGGATTTAAACTCAAGAAGAATAGATTTAGACTAGACATGAGAAAGAAATTTTTTACAATGAGGGTGGTGAGGCACTGGAACAGGTTGCCCAGAGAGGTAGTGGAGGCCCCGTCCCTGGAAACATTCAAGGTCAGGTTGGACGGGGCTGTGAGCACCCTGATCTGGTTAAAGCTGTCCCTGCTCACTGCAGGGGGGTTGGGCTAGATGACCTCTAAAGGTCCCTTCCAACCCAAAGCATTCTATGATTTTGTGATTCAAAACCAGCCCACCATTAAGTCAGCACCAAGGCCACGGGGTGCTCGCCCAGATTGCGTGGTCTCACCTTCCCACTGCTCTGCCTGCTGACTTGGTCTACGCAGCCAGGGTAGCGAGGGCCATCACATGGCTTCCCCAAAGGGTTATCATTTATACATAAGGCTGTCTAGTTTTCAGAAACAAAGGCTCTAGTGATACCAGCAACCAAAATCAAATTTCCATGACAGAAAGTTACACCACCAGTATTAAGGACAAAGGACCATAGGCCTAACACAAGGTTCAAATTTTCAAAAAAATAGATTAAGCTTTTGGTTTTATTCTGTCCAATGGTCTTTGGAAAATTAGATGTTTTGGTTACAGTCATGTTGCATTCATTTAGGCAGATCTTCCAGTATAAGAGAAAAAAACCCTAACAATTAAACATGATTAAGTCATGAATATTATCTAATAAGACAGATCTAAAATGAAAGCTTCACATTTGAATTCAGTTGTCTTTTCTCCCCAAATTCAAGTTTATTTAAATTTATTTGGTTTATGGCCATTTTCAATTTATTATCACTTTGAATCCTAGAACCCCACTTAAGCAAAGATGAGGAAACATGATCTGATTTTCCCAAGTCTCACACATCTCATCAGCAAGTGGGACCAAATCCCATCAGCTTTGTGTAGCAAACATTAATCTGATCAGTCAAAAGAGGTATGAATGAGAAATCACCTTCTCAGGATTTGTAGGAAGGGAAGGGAGATTTGATTTGTTGTTTATACAAAACATATTTCTTTTGCTATTCTTACTTTCCTTTGTATAGTTTTCAATGGTATATGTTTCTGCAAATGGGTATATCCTTGTGCTTCTGCAATTACTCACAGAACTTTTTCTTTGGGATAGCTGGGGATAGAAATATTTATTTCCTTGCTAGAATCTAAAGTATTGCTGTCGGTTTACACCCTTCTTTGCACAGATACCTTAATGAACGCATTAGTAATTTTGCTCCTGGATAAATGCTGTTTATTCTACCTCTTTTTACCACTTACTGGAATCTGCTTACGTGAGTAGGTCTTTATTTTGAGAACTGCTCTGGATCTGCCCTTTAAAAGTGCAGTGGTAAACTGCCTTAGCTAATGGAGAATTAGTCTGTAAACTAAAAAGCATCAACTTGTGCTTCGTTAGAAAGATTTTATATCCAGCTGATATGGTGATGACTGAAAGATATTCGCAACAGCTTTGTAACTGCACCTCTGTAACAAGACAGACATGATTTCTCCTAGTTTTGGTTTTACCTTTATTGCTTTTTCTTGGTAAATCAGCAAAAGGAGCTAGTGGACTCAATTTTAATTACAGAGAAATGCCATTATGTCAAAACCCACAACTGATGACAAACTTGGCATAGAGGCTGGTGTGCTGCTTTCGGAAAAAGGACTTCACTGCTCTTTGACCTTTGAAAGTAGTCCGTCCCCAGGCCAAGGGTGAAAACCCAGAGGTGGTGCATGCAGGAACTTCTGATTGCTGAGGTAATGTTCCATGCATTAATGAAGGATGTAATTTCCAATACTTCCAGATTTTTTAGGAGATGCAAAATTATGTAATAGAACTGCAAACTTTATAAACTCAAGTGTTCAAGCACATAAGAAAACCCTTTCTGTAAGGGATGATAAAACTTTTCAATTTAGTTGCAGTTTGCTGTGCGGGTACTGCAGACAATGTCTTGCTGAAAACAGCACCAGTGGATTCAGAAAGGAAAAGCAGGTGAGGCAGCAAGCGGGAAACCGGCATCACCAACAGAGACAGGGAGGCTCCTGCAAAGCGCAGGAACACATGGGAGGGTGTGATGAGTTTAAGCCAAGGGTATCTTTGAAAGCTGTTAGCCTGAAAAAGTAGAACTGGAATAAAAGTAAGTCCTTCAAAGAACTTAGCGGACTCACCACAGTTTTATTTGCAAACCTTTCTATTTAACGTGTGTCACACGAGTTATGAGTTTTCTCTATTTAAAGAACTACATCGCTTTAACTTTATTTTTTATATTCTAATAAAAAATAACTTCAAAAATTTGGGACATTCTGTTATTTTTAAGATTTAAAATAAAGTGCACCAATTTACTTCTACCTTGCAGTGTGTCATGTTACTGGATTAATCCAGCTAACTAGACAAAGCACATGTAATAGAACTCCATAAGCCCCTTTACAAC